GGGACCATTCATAATTGCAAAAAGTACTCAGGGTTTTCTCTCTCCATATGGTAAGCATATACATGTACAGTATCCAAAATGGAGTAGTGAAGAAGCTATAAGCCATTACCCTTGCCCGGGTACTTACGCCGCTGTAGACAGGGCAGAGCTGGTGTTGGATCAGCTCCATACTAAGCCTGTAAACAGTGAAGCCCGCAGCCAGTAATTAATGATATTTGGCTAGGTGTTTTAAACGTACAGTACTTAGATTTATGAAAAAAGACTGGTTAGGAGGTAATTTACCAAAATTCTAACTAAGTTCTGTATAATCACCTAACTCCTTTCTTAGCTGATACCAAGTCAAAAACATATTGGAGAATTTCGGTTTCAAAGCTTTAGACCACTTCCTGTGGGGACTATAATACCAATTAAAATATTTGAAATAACTGAAAGTAAGTAACAACAAAGTTTACACTCAATTAATCACTATAGTAGAATGCATACACAACCTTAAAGATGGTAAACCTGTTTACTGCCAACTGCATATTTATACCCCTATTAAACCTTAGAAAAATGTTGCTACCTGAAGTAATTAGTTCATCCATTCTTTAAACATAGAATTTTATGACAAGAGTGTTTGAGGAAGACCTTGTATGTGTTGCCCTGCAATAAATACAAGAAGCATAAATTGTATTGAATAGAATTGGAGGATGGGTTTAGAATTATATTTGAGTATACTGTATGCTGTTGGTTCATAAGTCTAAAGTTATTATGGCTTACTTGTATGCAAGAATATAATTACTACTCTTGTTCATTTAATTTCTTTCATATACTGTACTGTATTTCAATTACTGAAACAAAACACATTTACATACTGTATAAAATACAGTAGTATTAATATACAGTCCCCTTAATTATGAAACTCAAGTCACTGCCTGAACACCTTGGATGTACAGTAGCTAAATCAACTATCTGTGCAGGTGGGGGTCGATATGCTCCGAAATTTTACGTGTGACTAGTGACAGCCCTCGTTTACCAAAATTTATCATCCATGGTCTCATATTGTTTCCCACAGAGTAAGCACAGATAGTTGTTTCAGCTACTGTACATCCTAACCAGGGTTTTAGAGTCCCCTTCAGGAGTTCTTTCTGGTGTTGTACATGTGCTGTATTGGGAAAGTTTAGTTACTAAGTAAAGATCGTGGTGTTTGTACTATCCATTCTGTCATTTGATTTACAGAAAAAAATTGGATTTTCTACATCCAATGTTTGTTCTTTTTCAAGCATCTCATTGGAAACAGAATTATTCTTATCACCAACTCTAATGTATCTCTTGTGATAACACAACATTCTTTTTCAAAGCCAAACTTTATACAAATCTTTGTTTGACACAGCAAACATAAAAATTCTAATTATTGTACATCTAAATACAGTACAAAAGTACATTACTTGCTTGAAAGATGAGAAAAATTCTTACCATGATGATTGCTGCCCTAAGCCCTGCTGGAATGCTATGCTGGCCCCTGACCTCACTTTATCATCTAAAGCTGGACTTCTCGCCATTAATCATCATATTGCCTATTAGAAGACTTGGATCATGTCCAACTATAGATGATATGAAACTATGATTTGTATTTGGATTGATGTTTGATATGAAAATAAAAATAGAATTGAATCTATTTATAATTTTGTCTGACTTATCATCACATGCAGTCATGTTTGTTAAAAATCTAAGAATCCACCTCCTAATTTCACCAGTTAAACTTCTTGTCCTAATTTTGTAAGCTATCAGTTTGTGATTATATTTTCAAATGACTTTAGAAGATTTATGTACAGTATAGTATATTTAACTGCTACATTGATGTATAAAAGGAAAATATTTCCAGAGCTTAAACCATACATTATCTCCTTACATACAACACTGTGGCTTGCTAAAGACCCTAGAACATCTCCCACACACAATGATAGTAACAAAATTTCTGTACTGAAAAAGCCTCTATCATATATGCATTCTTTCAACCTTTCCTTCTATCCAACTTTTTGCTTTACTTCACGTCATTTAGGACTTCCGTGATTTTATATTTTTTCATTGTCATATTCTTCTTACATAACAAAGATGTCCATCTTTTATACTAAAGCAAATATAAAATTCCACATTCCTTAACAATTCACTTTTTTCTGCTTAATCACATAAACTACCAAAAGTTATTCCAGTGATCACACAACATCTTAAGCTAATGAAGGAAGAAACATTCAAACACCCTTTTATGTTTAAATTCAACAGTTTTGAATCCATGTTTAAAATTTTACCTACCCGGTACAGATATTTTCTGTATTTTAATTCAAAAGTCAAACAGGTAAACTGCACAACACCATAAAATATATTACTACATATTTAGAATTAAATGTTCTGGATTAAGCTTTGGAAAACATCAAAGCTAAGGATGTTTTAGTAATAGAGGCATAAAAGTTTTATAATGGTGCAATGGTGATCACTCTACCATTTCAATGAGAATCACTCCACCATTTCACACCTACGGTTCACAAGCCCAAAATCATCCTCATTGCTGTATATGACTTGCAGTTTTAACTTTCAACAATTTCACATTTCAAATTGCTGCCTTAATCTTGGCACTTTCTCTGATACTGTACTGTATTGCACCTTCCATTTTAAATTGTTAATCATCTCTACTTTGTATGTCATAAAATTTCATAACATGGCAGTTTCCAAATTCAACTGGTTTACTCCCAATACAGGCAGTCCTTGCTATACAAAAGAGATGCATTCTGCCAAAGTCCATGTGTAAAGCAAAAATTTTTTGTGAAAGAGGTAGTCTTATAGACATAGTGTTATATATGGAGGATGCATTCCTGGTGGCTGATTTTCAGACACCTTATACAACCAAAATTAACCAGACTACTGTACTGTATATACAAAAGTCATGATGAATCAATAAATCAATATAGAACATAATTTACGGTATAATCAAATGAACAGTCATCATAAATAATTGAAAACGGAATAAAAATTAATGATTTTGACTCCTTTGCAGTATTGTTTATCTCACTCCATTAACTTTTTATACAGTCACCTACTAAAAGTCCATTTGCCTCTCCCCCTGAACCACAAACCCTGAGATTCAGACTCATAAATCCAAAGCATTGATGAACAGAATAATACATCAGTCTACTGCTTAGGGTTCACGCGTCTGAATTTTGGAGTTCGTGGTTCAGAGGGAGGAGAACAGGGTTTAGTAGTTGGCTGTACATTCCCCTTGCAGATTGTAGGACACTGCTACAGAAGCCAGTCATACCTCCTCTCAGGAGATACGGTTCTCTAATCTATTAATAACCCAAACCGTTGACTGACCCAGATGCCTGTGTCAGCACCTCAACATCATCCAATGATAAAAAATCTTAACTTTGGGGGGTTTGTTTGTATAACAAAGACCAAGTCAAAAGATTCCAAACACAAAATCACTTTAGGTTGACAAAAGAATAGTACCTGCGCAGTGAACCCCATTTGGTGGAGTGGCATAGGTTGGAGTGGAGTGGAGTGGTCCAAAGTAGCTTGAGTGCAATTTTGAAATTTGTATGAAAGGAAAAAATGTGTATCAGCACAAATATGTAGCATTTTGTGAAGTTTGTTCACTTATTTAAGAATTTTGTATATGTGAAAATACTGTACTGTACACATATTATTATGGAAAAGCGCATAGTGGGGACTGCCTGTATTTTAATCCTATTGATGTTTAGTTCTTTTATATCAAGTTTACAACTGTTATTTTTCCTCCAACTTTCCACAATCTTACTTATATAATCAATTTACCAACATTTACAACATTATGATTAAATAGTTAATATCTGCCAAGATTTAAGCTTTGCATGTCAATAATATATTGGTGCATTTGTAATGCCCTTCAAAAACAGGGTACAGTACTTGTAACAACTTTTGGGAAGAGAAGAATATCAAAATCCTTTTTTCCCCATGCATTGTTAGAATTGTTCAATACTTCCCTCTAATTATATATATATATATATATATTTTTTTTTTTTAACTTATGTATACTGTGCTTTCGAGAAGCCATTTAGTTTATAATACAGTAGTTATTCCTAATAAAGAGCAACTGATGCCTGCTTCAGGTAACAACATTCACTGGACCTAACATTTCCCCTTAGAAATCAAGTACAGTACACTATAATCTCCCTACAGTAACTACTGTACTCTTCAATTATAAATAGTAAGTAAAATAAAAGAGAATTTTTTGACAGTTTAAATCAGGATTCAGTCATGGATGGAATCATCTTTCATAAAGCAATCCTACTCCTATAGAAAAAATTAACTAAAAGAAGTACTGCTGTAAGTACACATTTCATAAAACAGCATCAGTACCTGGTTATACTTAACGGTAACCAGCAGCAATTCAGTGAAGAGCTCATAAGTACAGCAGAGAGCCAACCCAGCGACCAACCGCAGCTTCATAACACCCAAGGAAGGTAGGCTTGCTAGAACGCTCAAACACATGTCAGTTACTGAGATACAAAAAGAGGCTTACTGTGAACTATTTAAATATGACATTAACAGTGTAATAGTTTCCTAAAAGAAACCTAACCTAAGCACCTCAAAATCCAGCAAGGGGGGATTTTGATTAACATGTTCATCTCTCTTGACAACCCATTAAAATATTTTATATTGACAGCACCTAAAAAAAAAAAAAAAAAAAATATGCAATAACAAGATCACAGTTACATCAGAACAAGAAACTTTACCCCACAAATATATATATAATAATAAATTTACTAATGCCACCTCTTTCAAAAAGGGGGGTAAATTCCTCAAAAAGTGCATACTGTTCCATTAAAAGTTACATTTCTTTCAATCATTATAATGCAAAATAATCATTGCATCTGTTATTAACACTTAGAACTCAAGATCTCTTTGTTACCAGTTTCAGGAAAGTCTGGGTCACTGAAATACAGGAAGATAATATGATAGTTATTGTTGTCACATAAATCAGATACCTGCTTCTCTTCCGTTTCTTTGGCCTAGATTCCCTTTCTCTCCTTCGCTCCTTCTTCTTGGGCTCAGCATCATCAGAATCTTCAATGGTTACAACTTCATTTTCAGGCTTCTTAACCACCACAGGCTTTGGCTTTGGCTCCTGAGGCTCTTCTTCATCTTCGACATCACTCATGTAAGCTCCCAGACATGCCTGCAGTGCTGCCTGTTGTACCAAGTGGGCAAACATATCATTGGAAAGCCAACTCCAGGAAATCAATAGAGTACTCATATTGCTTCTATACTACAGTACTGTACTATGAAGAAACAGGAAGTAAATTACATTTAATGAATTACTGTATGCTTTTCATTAAAAATATGTTCGGTATTCTGCAAAATGAAGGGTCAAGAACTAAAATTTTATTAATAGTCTTTCTTCTGTTGAAGATACAGTTGGAATTTCAAAATGAGATTAACACCATTTCTTAACTCTGTTTTACTTTTCTTCAAATCTTCAATTTTGGTGTTACAAACTATTCTCAACAAGAATGAAAGCAGAAGACCTAGTACTCCATATACTTAACAGAGCGAACTCTCTTTTGAAAAATGTCAAAACTGGAAAATTGTAATTAAACTTAACTTCTGTTTCATGAGTTCTTCCAGATTAAGATCCTCATCTATGTGGAGGAAGTCTGAGGAGTCTAAGGAAAATTCTTCAGCCTTACGAGCAGCTTCTCTCGAGTTGTCATCACTAACAAGCTCATCACTGCTAGACACTGTCACAGGCTTTAACATGAAAATTTACAAGAATAAGTAAATATAAGGAATGTGTAGGAAATATTAATGCCGAGATTTGTTGATAGCTATTAAAATGTCTGATAACTAATTCAAACCAAGTTGTTTAAGTCAAATGATTTACAATTCTTCTACAAAACCTTCTTAAAGAATTACTACACTAACCTGGTTTCTGCTACCATTGTGATTATTGACGACAATTTTCATAGACTCCACCATACCATTACCAGCAGACGTTCGCATAATCTCCACATCCCTCCCCCGCTCACGTGGCTGGTCATGATTGGGGACAATAGCTTCAAGCCCTGACTCCAGAAGCTCATCAATAAGTTGCACTTCTTCCACATCATCCGATTCTCCACTCTCACTTTCAGACCCTTTGTGCCTATGTTTAGAGCGGTGTTTTTTGTGTTTCCTGAAACATCAAATTTATACATGAGCAACTATCCCCTTCAGAATTACAGTACATGTTTCCTTTATACAATTTAATTTCCTCCCCTGTTGGTCTCTTGTCCACATCACACATATTCCTAATACAAGGTACTGTATAGGTAGAGTACAGTAAAGCCTCGAATAATGATGGTAAAGTGTCCTCCAATATTGCAGAGTAAGGTGAATCATCGTATCGCGAATCACTAATTAACATTGAAATAAAGCAATAATAATGAGATGCATTCCCAAGTGTGACCTTTTCATATCTTTTGTGTAACTTAATCACACGCTGCTTATCCTGCATCGAGTACTTGACAAACTTAACTCCCTTACAATAGTTCTGCTTCTCCTTTTCCTTATTTGGCCGCTTAGGTGGGTCTGTCCCACCAGCACCAGTACGACCCCCAGTAGAGGTAGAGGCCATTATCTTGACTCGACAGGTGGTAGTACCAACCCAAAAAGTACACAATAGCAGCCCGGGCGGTTGCTAGGAAGGCGCGGGCTACGAGGAGATAGTTGCGTTCTTGTAAACCTCTTTTACATTCACCACCGGCAATTCAATCACCAAAACGCTTCTTGGAAACATTCTTCTTACCTTGTCTTTCCTTATTCATCACTAACACTACAAAATTGGAGAAAACAGCGAAAATCACGGAGCAATCAACAAAAACCCAGCGATTCACCTGATCACGTGATGTAAATAGAGAGCGCTGAAGTAAACAGTTATTAGTCCTCACTGCGAAACAGCCTTTTTACCTATTCTTTTCATACAGTATTTATGGGTAACAGCTAAAATTTAAAAAAAAAAAAAAAAATTACAAAATTTACAGAGTACCTCTAAAAAAACCACTTTACAAACAAAAGACGAGAATCAATTGAACATGTGATGTCGAACGTGAACTGTAAACATTGCATAACCCTGTGCCACGCTTAAAACGTTGAGGATGGAATCAAAACACTGTGGATGGAATCACGTTATAGCCAACATTCGTATGCGAAATTCGCGTTATACAAACAGCGTTCCCCTATTCATCAATCGCGTTACAACCAATTCGCGTTGACAAAACACGCATTGTAGCAGAAATGACTGTAACTGGTATAAGGGCTGTGATGTCATTCAAGACGGTGGCCAGCATTCAGCTGGCTGGATCTCGTGAAATTCACGATATTTTACGTCAAATGTAAGATTGGTTACATTAGGTAGTGCTTGCGAAATTCAAAACGCGAAATAGAAGAATTTACTGTACAGTACAATATAAATGAATAATAATATGGTCACACAAGAGGAGATGGGACGCCATTGTTTTCGTTTGTGTTTATAGCTGGGATATTAAAGAAAAAAGTGAGACTGATAGTGGAACGCCAATGTATACGTATGCACTCAAGGAAACATAGTCATTTATCTTATGAATACGTACAAAAGATTCATTATTGTTTATTAATGACTATGTATTTGATTGAATTAATGTTTATATATGTGAAATGAACAATGCAATTCATTAATAATACAAAAAATATTAAAACACACACGAGGAGACAAGACGGCATTGTTTTCGTGAGTGAAGATGGTTCTACATAAGAAACTGACTAAAATAAGACTGGTTGTAGCTGTAGTGAACTTAATGTAAAAAAATTGAATACCTGTATGTATGCTTAAAGTAATGTTATTTAATGTATTATTACACTCAAAGCGCACATACAGCGCACATACTTTACACACAATTTCCCTGACACTAACTTATTAAATGATCCCAACAAACAAATCTTACCTCTCTTTTCTGGAGGAAGATTTATGACGGTGCTTATGCTTGTGAGAATGACGCTTATGCTTCTTCTTGTGCTTGTGACGGTGTTCTTTGGATCTGGATCTCTCTTGATCCTCTGGTTTTATCTCATCATTTGAGAGACTAGACAGACTTAGGTCATCAGAGCTAAAAAAAAGAAAAGAATAAACATGTTTATTTTAATGAGCTACAAAAGGTTCAGCATAACAGCCATACCACATGTTAAGGCCAATACAGTATCATTAACATAATTTTCTATACAAGCATCAAATAATCTCTTACTACTGTAGAAGGAAGTCACACTTAAAACAACCAGATCCTGTATCCATGCCACAATAGGGTCTTAAGAAATAACATGTCCAGGAGTGCAATATTGTATTCTTTAATTTGCTTTGAGAGTACAACACAAACCTTACCAATGGTGTTGTAATTTTAAGATCAATATATTGGATCAAATTAGTAAATGTCATCTGAATAACAAACGTCTGCAGTTCTGTTCATGATTCATTCGAGAGTACTGTACTATACTGTACAGTGAGAGTACTGTACTATACTGTACAGTCATTCCATATGTTACGGATATTCGATTTGTGAAATTTTGAGAAAATAGCATTTGTAAATTAGAACTCAACTGTAAAGCACCATTAAATCTAAGATAAAAAACAAAAAGTTCACCATCTGGAAAATGCATAAATTTTCAGCACAAAAATGTAATATGGAATAAATAATTTGGCAACTGTGGCTCACTTCAATATCAATAGTCACACTCATTTCTCACCAAGACATTTAAATGAACGTGGTGTTCCCATGCTTTGCTTTAGGTCTAAGAAAGTGGACTTGTGAGCAGCATGCTCAGTATGGGGTGATAAGAGGGAGTGAGTGATTTCCTGACTATTATTGCATGTTATTATATTGTACCTGTAATGGAATTGCGCATGGAGAAAAACATCCACCAGACAAGTTTTATGGTAGAAAATTGAGTACAGCATTTCTTTAAGAATTGGAAAAAATAAAATTTGCACATAAACAGAATACCCAATTTTTCCATGGCCATACCGTAGTTCAAGGGTTAAAATAAGTCGATTGAATTTCTTGGGAAAAGAGCCACAGAAAAAAGAAATGGATAAAATGGATAAATCACAATTCTTGGGGTGGATACAGACTATTATTGAAGTAAAAATTCTTCCATATAAGACTCTAAAATAGCAATTTAGGGTGCAAATATATATTTTTATAGTATTATTGTAAATATTTATTCACAAAAACATTCTGGATGTAAATATTGGAGCTATGATGTCTGTGTGTGGCTGTGTATTACACAGGGAGGTTAACAAAACAAAACAAAAACAAAAACATTACAGTATTATGGAAGAGGTTTTCCTCTCAAGCATTATCTTCTATAGATATATATCCTAAAGCTCATGGTTATAATGCACTAACTGTCTTCCAGTGTTACCATATAAGTGATATCTCCGTTAGCCAGAACAATTGGTGCAGAGCACTTCCGAGAATGAGAGATTTCCGGGTAACGAGACGACTCTCAAAGCAGGAAAAAAAATCCCTCATCCTCGGAAATTTTGGGGAAAAATTTTTAAAGAAAGTTCCAGAAATTACCCATTACATCATCTCTTGAACCCGGAAAAAAAATCCCTCATCCCCGGAATTTTCCGGGTAAAACTTAATTTTTCTTGGAATTTCCAGAAATGCGCCCGATTTCCTTCTCTCAAACCCAGAAAAATACTCGCCCCATCCCCGGAACTTTCCTGGTATCGGAAAATTTTCTCAGAATTTTCCAGAAAATGTGCTCCTCAAAAAATCTTCCCAAAGCCAAAATTTTCCGGGAAATTCCGGCTTTGGGAATAATTTTCCAAGAAAATTTCAATTCCGGCTATCGGAGAGTTCCGGCTTTGAGGGATTCCGGCTAATGGAGATATTACTGTACATTATTAATGAGTAGTAATACTTTATGATGGTTAAGTGCCTTAGCCAGCAACTAATGGAATTTTTGTTTTATAATAGATCCTTTATTACTTCAAGAAAAGTCCCCCAAAATGAGAAGGAATAAGTCTTTGTAATATAATTTGTAAAATTTTTGTCTCAAACATTATTCTACTCCCGTATGCGAGACAACATACCGGTATCCATTATTAACATCTGAGACGCTTCTCCAAACTTACCAGCTGCTGCTGCTACATTATGATTTATCAGTGACAAAATGATCCAACCTAAACTACTTAAGTTATGTTAGGTATATTAGATTAGATGGGTTAGGTTTGTTCATTTTATGTCCAATATATAATATGGGAATAGCTGGTAACTTGTAGCACGCGGCCGTAAATATGTTAAGATGTTTCATATAAATATTACAAAAACTTATTCTTTCCCATTTCCTGGTTTTTTCATGGGTAATTATTTACGACTTCACAGCTGCTGATTTAGTTCCTGGGTTCTGTGGCTAGGTTGGGTTAGGTTACATTAGGTTAGGTTAGGTTGGGTTAGGTTACATTAGGTTAGGTTAGGTTGGATATTAAATACAGGTATGACCAAAACTAAAATTTACCATTATTTTAGTTTCGGTCAAACGAGGAATCAGTTAGGTTAGGTTGGGTTAGCTTGGATATTTAAATACAGGGATAACCGAAACTATAATTTTACCTTTCGAACTATGCCAATGCCAAATATTATGGCTACATTTTTCCCTAGTGCATTTTTATGTAGAAAGGTACTAAACCATATAAGTACCTCAGAAGTAAACTTAACCATATTAATATAAACCATAGGAAACATCATCTTCTTTTTAATATCATGAGGATGTAGACAGGTAGCTAATGGTACTGAAGCTAACCGAGCCGATCATCCTCCTACATATTACACAAGCTAATTTCAATAAAATGTGGGGCTTTAAAACCATCTGATACATGTAAAAAGGTACAATGATAGACAGTACATTAAACATTGTTAGTAATGACTCGCTCTTATGTAAACTTACTTCATAATGACGTGATGTTAAATTTTAGGTCGTTGTTCACTTCAGCCACGGACGCAGAATGTGTCGTTTACACTACCATTACCGCCACCTCTCACACCAACACTGCCTTTTAAATATTACTATATATCACTACAGCCATTAAATTCTTCAGTAACTAAGAAGAACAATATATATATTTCGCATTTTTTTCAACATATTACAGAATAGAGGAGGAAAAGTATCCAACATACGATGATAAACAAAACGTTTATAAAATTACAAAGAGATTGTATGAAAGAGATGTATTCGACCTCCTTAACTAGGCCACATTTCTGAGGAACATATTTCATAAAACGTTTACTTTATTTATATAATTTCTTACCATAGATAGATATTTATTAAGTAAAATCGTTATGCAAGTTTACATTGATTTAGCATGTATACTGTATAGATAATGCAGGTACATGATTAACATTATACAATATCCACAGACTAGTAAGCTAAGTGGTGATGATAAATAAAAAAGTATTTCTAAATAGTAACAGTGCGTAAACGATATACATTGTTAAACAGTAAATTGTTCCACCAAGGATAATTAACAAAGCCATCATATGCTTATTTGTAGAATGCGGAAAGCGATATATTTTAATTGGCATGAGGAAATAATGATAGAAGTATTAATGCATAAATTGATGGCGGGGGTTCAGGGGACGCAGAGGCTGGGTGGGATAAATCAATTAATCAGAGTACCGGCCTTATATCTGAGGGTTGGCGCCCAGTCTCCATTCTAAACGTTTTCGGGCTGTTTTTTCCAATCCTCCAAGGCTTTGTATTTCTCTGCAAGGGCGGGTCCAGGGATTTCGGACCCCTCCCCCCCCCCTTCACCAGAAAATTCCAATACTTTTTCTTTAATGCAGTATTGTACTCAGGCGGTTTTGTATAGTAAAAAGTAATTACTATTGACCTCAAACTATCTCCTAATATCAAGTGCATATGGCTTCAAAATGGCCTCAAAATGTCCATGGTGTTGGTCAGATTAAAAAATAAATAACATCTGGGGGGCTTACAGCACCCTTCCTCCCAAAACCCTCGAGCTAGGCGGGCTCACTGCGCTTGCTATGTTCCCCTCACCCACAACTTTTTGGATAATCCTGAATCCGCCCCTGCTTTGGGGCCCCAGTTTTTATTTTTATTAATCAATCCCAGTTTCTGCCTTCCTCCTCCCCCTGTCCTCTCGACCCTTAACTTTGCCCATTAATATTTCTGTTTTTATATTATCCCCTCATCCCTAATTGCAGTATATGACTAGAGTATCTCAATTTTCTTTTCTCTGTATATTTCACGTGTTTTTTTTCTCAAAGTTTTTGCTAACCTTAGTACTTCTTTATTTGTTTTCCTGTCAGTGTAACTTACATTCGCCTATAACATCAGATTTCAAAGGCTTCTAACTTCTTTCTGGTACTGAAAGTATCCACGCTTCTGAATCACACTACAATCCTTGCCATATATACGTATAAACTTTCAGTAGCCTTTTTATCACATTGAAATTAATGTCCCTTTTCATTAGGTTTTTAGATTATCAAATCCTGTTTTTGCTTGACCTGTTCTTGTTATTATGTCTTGCGCATCAGAGCTAATGTTATTTCCCAAATGCAAAAAAAAAAAAATCCAATTGTTTAAGTTCCCTTTTGCCTACCATAATTTTTATTTTAGGATTTATTTCCAATTTGGAAACAACCATTACTTTCATCTTTAGAGCATTAACTCTTAAAGTTTTTCCACTAATCTGTTAACCAGTTTTTGTAACACCTCTTCACTATCCGTGATAATAGCAGTCTCATCTGCATTGCGTATATTTGATATTGCTTTACCATTATTTTTTATTCCTTCATTGTCACTTAATACGTCTGTCATTAAGAATTCTGAATATATATTATACAATGTTAGAGATAGAACACAGCCTTGCCCTACACCTTGTCTAACTGTGAACCAATTAGTGAGTTCATTATTTACTAATACTGCAGCCTCCTGTTGTCAGTAAAGATTTGTTTTTAATTTTAATATTTCCTTCAATAATGCCTATTTTTTCCAAAATCTCTATAAGTTTATTAAATTTTACCTTATCAGAAGCTTTTTCAAAGTCAACAAAGCAGATGTGTATTCAAATTTCCTTGGACCTCTGAAGCCCTTTCACTTACAATTCTCAACCAAATACAGCTTCTCTAGTTCCTTTTCCTTTTCTAAATCCATTTTGAACTTCAGATAACTCACTGTCGATTCTAAATTTTATTCTACTTAAAATTATGTTTAATAATACTTTGCAGACATGACTTATTAAGCTAATTGTTCTAAACTGGGTGCACTCTAAGGCTCCAGTTTTTTTTAGGTGTTAATACAAATATTATTTTTTGGAAATCACTGGGAAGGTCTCCTTTGAAATATATAAAATTACATATTTTAGTCAAATATTTGATCCTATTCTTGCCCATTTGTTTTATAAATTCTGCCTCAACCTTTGATTTCAGAAGTGGTAGTTCGATCTTCATTTTCTTTTGCTTTCTCACCTCCACTCTATCCTTATCATTATATAGTTCTACAAATACTGTCCATCTCTGTTTTACTTCTTTTGCCACAAACAGCATCTTATTGTCTTTGCTTTTAATAGTCCCACCCCATTTATTTTATTTTTTTCTGGCTCATTTGTTTAATATTTCTCGCTCAACTTTTGCATTAACTCACCCATTATAATCAAACATTCATCAAACTTCACGGTGTCTTTTGCTTTCTTTAATCTTCATAAAACTATTCTGAGACTTCATCCTCACTATCATTTGTTGGTGCATAAACCTGTATTATTACCAAGTCCATGGATTTAGCATTAAACTTGACTAACAAAACTCTGACACTGCTCAATACCGTTTTACACTACTGCTCACGTGAATACCAACACCTCGCTCATGTTTTTCACCACCTGAATATATGAAATAAAAAGTTTCACCACTAATGCTATTTGAACCCATCCATCTTACTTCACTTCATCCCAGAATGTCTCACTGTAGTCTTTTCATTTCCTTACAAGCATTTGCATATTTACCAGCCTTATATATAATGTCCTCACATTTCATGTTCCTATTTTAATTTTGTGCTTGTTCATTCTTAATCTTTCCATAGATGCTTTTAATGTCCAAGGCATTTGTTTTGTTCAGACAGTACTTTCTAGCTCTCGGTGGCACACTGCCCTCAAGTTGGTTGGACCTCTTTAGGTTACGGCAACAGGGACGCCCGAAAATCGTTTATTGTGTCTGTTCATGGTTACTCAAGGACAGGAGAATGGATGCCCCAAACCTTTTTTTCGTCAAAAGACTAATTAAAGGGAGTAGAAAAGGTTGGGAATGAACTTTTGAGTGTGGTAAAGAGCCAGCTCACAACACCTGTGAAATATTGAATTTGCGTGCTTAGCGACGATCTACTTTCAACTTACTCATTTGGGGTTGCAAGATGGGAAGTTTATACCTATCTCAGATATTTGAAAGTGGTTCGTTCGAGTCTCCACAACACGACAAGGTAACGCAAATTCGTGCACTAAGATGGAGTTGTACCTTGGGGAGGCTAAATGAGTGAAATTAATAAAACCTGTGGTGTCCCCAGAGATACAAAATCCAGGGTTATAGTCTGAGCAGGCGCTACTTCCCTTGCTCTCCCATACCGGGTTGTTGCTGGAGCTTGTTTTTATTATTATGACCCGGATGTGTTATGAGGAAGGGGACACGACAGCCAAGTGTACCATGATAACAGTGATAAGATATAGGGTGCAGTAACGGATATGGGTTCCTGGGGGCAGCGCCATAACCGTTGGGGGACCTCATAATGGTAGCAATAATGTCACTATATCTATCAGCACGAAAATCTCGAAATTGATGTGTACAGGACACAGAAGCACTCTGACAGGTAAAAATAAAAAATAGAAACTTTAATAAACTATCATAACAAACTTAACTTCAACTAACGTTTGGTTAAGGGAACGCAGGATGACTTAGATAAAATAAAAACTAATTTACTGTAATACATCAACATCTTCATGGAGGTACAGTGTAAGTAATACCTCACTCTGACGACTATACCCAAAACGCGCACTATATAGCAGCTTTTTTTATTGTGGGAAGTGTTTGAGGAATTGTAATGAGAGGTTGATATATTACATTAATATAAGTTTTTTCTTCATTATTCAGCATGATTTCACATCATGGGTCACCTTATTGCCAGCTGGACCTGTGAGTAGCAGCCTCCATAAATCCTGAGTGGCTGAGTGTCATGAGTGATATGACATCATCTAGTATGACATGAATAGGGGTATTTGAGCCCCTCATCTCACCATAATGATACTATGGTTTGCTTGTGAGAGCTCCGCCATTATGCCTGTAATGGCACAAAGACGACCTGTAAGCACACGATGATGGACGTACAGAACGCCACTGTTGGCAGAAGGCGGGCGAACGTAAACGTTGCGCTGCTTTCATAAGCTTGTTATTTCTTTGTGGAAAAAGGGGGAACGCCAGATGCTCTTATAGCTTTTATTGACGCTGTTTTTAATATGGGAAAAGGATTGAGGTGGAACAAGGTTCGCTCCCTCGGCTCAGCATTACCAGTCAGGAGGACACTATAGAGCGGGCGTGGCTCCGGGATACATCTTCTACTCACACCATCTAGTCTCTAACCTCGGGGACTGTACCACCACCACCAACCACATCGGTGACATCTGCGGTGACCCCTGGGGGCTTTAGCGACGTTAAATCCAATCATGAGTTAAGCTGCCGCCACTTCAGGGTCTTCATAACCTGTTCTGCAATACTCTGGTAACCATATTATCGCAATTGAAGGTTCCTGCGAAATTTCTGTATATTTAATGATATGATTATAATGTTCAGGTAATGGTGGGTGTCAGATTCAGTGGCGATATAACAGTTTTACTGTGTATCAGTATAAAGAGTAAGGTGTGTTGAGAGAGCCTACGTCAAGCTGGTGGTGGAAGCCGTAGTAAGTGGGAGGGTTGGGCTGTGTGGGTCATCCCGAGCGGAGGTGGCGGTGGTGACCAGTTTACAAGATCTGCCGACATCCACACTACATCCGTCCTCCT